TTATACACTGGCTCTGTTATACACTGGCCTCTGTATACACTGCTCTGTTACACGGCTCTGTTATACTGGCTCTGTTATACACTGCTCTGTTATACACTGGCTCTGTTATACCTGCTCTGTTATACACTCGGGCTCTGTTATACACTGGCTCTGCTATACCTGGCTCTGTTATACCGCTCTGTTATACACTGGCTCTGTTATACACTGGCTCTGTTATACACTGGCTCTGTTATACACTGGCTCTGTTATACACTGGCTCTGTATACACTGCCTGCTATCACGGCCTGTTATACACTGGCTCTGTTATACACTGGCTCTGTTATACACTGGCCTCCTATACACTGGCTCTGTTATACACTGGCTCTGTTATACACCTGGCTCTGTTATACACTGGTTTGTTATACACTGGCTCTGTTATACACTGGCTCTGTTATACACTGGCTCTGTTATACTGGCTCTGTTATACTGCTCTGTTATACACTGTTTGTTAAGCACTGCTCTGTTGCTACTGGCTCTGTTATACACTGGCTCTGTTATACACTGGGCTCTGTTAACACTGGCTCTGTTATCACTGGCTCTGTTATACACTGGCTCTGTTATACACTGCTCTGTTATACACTGCTCTGTTATACACTGGCTCTGTTATACACTGGCTCTTGCTACCACTGGCTCTGTTATACACTGGCTCTGTTATACACTGGCCTGTTATACACTGGCTCTGTTATACACCTGGCTTTGCAGGTACTGGTTTAAGTATATTCAGTTTCTGCGGCGCTCTCTGTTATACACTGGGTCTGCTCACTGGCTCGTTATACACTGCTCTGCATACCGCTTTGCAGGCTCTGCAGGCTCTGTTTGCACGGCTTGTTATACGCTGGCTTTGTTACTACTGCTCTGGCGCTACTGGCTCTGTTACGCACTGGCTCTGTTGCTACTGCTCTGTTATACACTGGCTCTGTTATACACTGGCTCTGTTATACTGCCTGTTATACACTGGCTCTGTTATACACTGGCTCTGTTATACACTGCTCTGTTATACTGGCCTGGCACACCTGTTATACACTGGCCTGTTATGCACTTATATATTATGCTCTGTGCTATACTGCCATTTGTTATACACTGGCTCTGTTACACTGCTCTGTTACATGCTGGCTCTGTTATACACTGGCTCTGTTATACACTGGCTCTGTTATACACTGGCTCTGTTATACACTGGCTCTGTTATACACTGTCTGTTATACACTGGCTCTGTTATACACTGTCTGTATACACTGCTCTGTTATACACTGGCTCTGTTATACACTGGCTCTATTGCTGGCTCTGTATACACTGGCTCTGTTATACACTGTCTGTTATACACTCTCTGTTATACACTGGCTCTGTTATCTGGCTCTGTTATACCTAGCTCTGTCTTGGCTCTGTTATACACTGTGTTATACACACTGGCTCTGTTATCACTGGCTCTGTTATACACTGGCTCGCATTACACTGGTCTGTTATACACTGGCCTGTTGTTATACTGGCTCTGTTATACACTGACCTTGTTATACACTGACTCTGTTATGCTGGATCTGTTATACACTGGCGTCTGTTATACTGGCTCTGTTATACACTGGCTCTGTTATGCACGCACTGGCTGTTATACGCTGGCTCTGTTATACACTGGCTCTGTTATACACTGGCCCCTGTATACACTGGCTCTGTTATACACTGATTTGACGCTGTCTATTTACTCTGCTCTGCTTATACACTGGCTCTGTTATACACTGACTCCGTTATACACTGGCTCTGTTATACGCTGACATCTGTTATCACGCTGGCTCTGTTATACACCTGGCTCTGTTATACACTGTCTGTTATACACTGGCTCTGTTATACACTGGCTCTGTTATACACTGGCTCTGTTATACACGGCATATTTATACACTGGCTCTGTTATACACTGGCTCTGTTATACTTGGCTCTGTTATACACTGGCTATTTATGCACGCTCTGTTATACACTGGCTCTGTTATACACTGGCTCTGTATACTGGCTCTGTTATACACTGGCTCTGTTATACACACAGCTCTGTATACACTGGCTCTGTATACACTGGCTCTGTTATACTGGCTCTGTTATACACTGGCTCTGTTATACACTGGCTCTGTTATACACTGGCTCTGTTACCTGTATACACTGCTCTGTTATACACTGGCTCTGTTATACACTGGCTCTGTTATACACTGTCTGTTATACACTGTCTGTTATACACACGGCTCTGTTATACACTGGTCTGTTATACACTGGCTCTGTTATACACTGGCTCTGTTATACACTGGCTCTGTTATACACTGGCTCTGTTATACACTGGCTCTGTTATACACTGGCTCTGTTATACACTGGCTCTGTTATACACTGGCTCTGTTATACACTGGCTCTGTTATACACTGGCCTGTTATACTGCTGTTATAGACTGGCTCTGTTATACACTGGCTCGCTATACACTGCTGCTCTGTTATACACTGGCTCTGTTATACACTGGCTCTGTTATGCCACTGGCTCTGTTATACGCACAGCGGTATACGCACGCTCTGTTATACGCTGGCCTGTTATACACTGCCTGTTATGCACTGGCACTGTTATACACTGGCTCTGTTATACGCACGCTCTGTTATACCACCCTACACTGGCTCTGTTATACACGGCTCTGTTATACACTGGCTCTGTTATCACTGGCTCTGTTATACACTGGCTCTGTTATACACTGGCTCTGTTATACACTGGCTCTGTTATACTGAATCTGTTATACACTGGCTCTGTTATACACTGGCCTGTTATACACTGGCTCTCTGTTATACACTGGCTCTATATTCACTGACTCTGTTATACACTGGCTCTGTTATACACTGGATCAGTATACACTGGCTCTGTTATACACTGGCTCTGTTATACGCTGGCTCTGTTATACACTGGCTCTGTTACACTGGCTCTGTTATACACTGACCCCTGTACATACACTGGCTCTGTTATACACTGGCTCTGTTATACGCTGGCTCTGTATACACTGGCTCTTTATACTCTCGCTCTGTTATACTCTGTTATACACTGGCTCTGTTATACACTGGCTCTGTTATACCTGGCTCTGTTATACACTGGCTCTGTTATACACTGGCTCTGTTATACACTGGCTCTGTTATACACTGGCTCTGTTATACACTGGCTCTTTATACACTGGCTCTGTTGGCTCTGTTATACACTGGCTCTGTTATACACTGTCTGTTATGCCTGGCTCTGTTATACACTGGCTCTGTTATACACTGGCTCTGTATACACTGGCTCTGTTATACACTGGCTCTGTTATACACTGGCTCTGTTATACACTGTCTGTATACACTGGCTCTGTATACACTGGCTCTGTTATACACTCGGCTCTGTATACACTGTTATGCATTATACACTGACCTGTGTTACTGGCTCTGTTATATGTTATATTTATACAGGCTCTGTTATACACTGGCTCTGTTATACACTGGATTTTACATACGCTGATATACGTATGCAGGCTCTTATACACTGGCTCTGTTATGCACTGGCCTGTTATACACTGACTCTGTTATACACTGGCTCTGTTATACACTGGCTCTGTTATACACTGGCTCTGTTATACGCTGGCTCTGTTATACACTGGCTCTGTTATACACTGGCTCTCTGTTATACTCAACTGTTATACACTGACCTGTTATACACTGGCTCTGTTATGCTGGCTCTGTTATACATGTTATATTATGCACTGGCTCGTTATACACTGGGCTCTGTTATACACTGGATCTGTTATACGCGAGCTCTGTTGCACAATAGTTCATGCACTGGTCTGTTATACACTGGTCTGTTATACACGAATCTGTTATCGCGGCTTCTGTTATACACGGCTCTGTTATACGCGGCTCTGTATACACTGTGCGCATACCACCGTCTGTTATACACGCTCTGTATACACTGGTCTGTTATACAAACTCTGTTATCACTGGCTCTGTTATACGATCTGGTTCTCTGTATACACTGGCTCTGTTATGCACGAATACCGGTATACACTGACTCTGTTATGCACGAAATATGTTATGCACTGGCTCTGTTAATGCACTGGTCTGTATACACTGGCTCTGTTATACACGCTCTGTTATACACTGCTGTTATGCTTATACGCCATCGGTTACTGGCTCTGTTATACCTCTGTTTATACTGGCTCTGTTACGCTGCTGTTATACACTGGCTCTGTTATACACTGGCTCTGTTATACACTGGCTCTGTTATACGCTGGCTCTGTTATACACTGGCTCTGTTATACTGGCTCTGTATACACTGGCTCTGTATACACTGGCTCTGTTATACACTGGCTCTGTTATACACTGGCTCTGTTATACACTGGCTCTGTTATACACTGGCTCTGTATACACTGGCTCTGTTATACACTGGCTCTGTTATACACTGGCTCTGTTATACACTGGCTCTGTTATACACTGGCTCTGTTATACATGGTCTCACACACACACACCTCTTGTCTCCTCAGATCCAAGACATCACGAAGGAATGATCTCAGGACAGCTCAGATGGTGCTGACTCTAATTCTCCTTTTTATAAGCTGGAGTCCCTACGCTACCATCAGCTTAGTGGGACAGTTTGGTGATGTCTCTGTGCTGACTCCGTGGGTAACATCTCTCCCTGCTGTTTTGCTAAAGCTTCTGTTATCTATAATCCAATTGTATATGGTTTAAGTCATCCGCATTTTCGTTCGTCATTGCAACATTTATTCTCAAGCGTTGCAACGAGTCAGCAACAGATGCAGTATAAGCCATCAACTGCAGTTAGACATGTATCGGTCAATTCAGTCTTAGAATTACAGGATGAATCGCCTTGTTATGACTTGCACTCGGATGTGACACCATTACCTGAGACTACCCGGATTTGGTACTACACCGCTAACACAACTCGGAATAACTTCAATAGCAGCTATTACGGGTAATGGCGTATCTTGTGACTGTCTATGGCCAGACGCCATAACCTTGTCTAATGGTGACAGTGCCAATTTCTCTGAACCTGACCTCCTCCGCCACGACGATAGGATCATCCCGGCTCATTTCATCACCTACTTGGCGTACCACAGGGAAAAGCGCAGGTTCCTCCGCTCAACCCTCTTCTGTTCTGAGTCGTCCTTGGAGATATGAACGTCGAGGAACACATCAGAGGAACCCCCGTCAAGTATATCTCGGTGGAGGAGGAGGTCTAATGCCCTCTACTCCAAACTGCGTCCTTAAGCAAACAGGACCTGGCACTTGGGATCACCTGGCATTATTGGCACCTTCATTGCCTCTACATAATGACTCGGCTAATGCCTCCGTAGATTCGGCCTCCCCAGACCCCCAGAGATCTTCGCTGTCCACCAATTATTGTAGGAGTCCAAGAATGTCCCTCTCCAAGCTAAGTGTGAGTATAAATAACCCCAGAGAAACCCCCAGAGAACCCCCCAGAGAAACCCTCCAGAGAAACCCCCCAGAGAAACCCCCAGAGAACCCCCCCCAAGAGAAACCCCCGGAGAAATTCCCCTCCCGTCAACCAAACAAAACCCCTGTTAACCCCAGAAAACCCCTGTCATCCTTACAGAACCCCGTCAATCCCCAGAAAAACCTCTTCCCCGACAACCCCAGAGATTCACACGTGTTTTAAATACACTACAGATGTTATGTAGGTATATTACAGGTACCTAAAACCCATTACAAGTGTCCAGGTACTAACACAGATGTTCCACGTGTATTACAGATGTCCAGGAGTCACCGTCACAACAACTGCTGTCAGTGTGCAGCTGGGGACTTGGCTCAAACAGTAACAGTTGCCACCATCAACAACAGACGCAGATCATCAACTATACACCTGTGTCTTAGGGGAAACTTACACCAGTTTAATGATGTGTAGGACAGGTGTTTATCATCCTACACCTGTTTAATGATGCGTAGGACAGGTGTTTATCATCCTACACCTGTTTAATGAGGTTTAGGACAGGTGTTTATCATCCTACACCTGTTTAATGATGTGTAGGACAGGTGTTTATCATCCTACACCTGTTTAATGAGGTTTTTAGGACAGGTGTTTATCATCCTACACCTGTTTAATGAGGGTTTAGGACAGGTGTTTAATCATCACCACCTGTTTGTTGGTAGTGTATAGGACAGGTGTGTAAACAACGTAACTATACGGTGTCTAAACAAGTGTAACTATACAGGTGTGTAAACAAGTGTAACTATACAGGTGTGTAAGCAAAGTGTAACTATATATATACAGGTGTGTAGGCAAGTGTAACTATACAGGTGTGTAGGCAAGTGTAACTATACAGGTGTGTAGGCAAATGTAACTATACAGGTGTGTGGCAAACGTAACTGTACAGGTGTGTAGGCAAGTGTAACTATACAGGTGTGTAAGCAAGTGTAACTATACAGGTGTGTAGGCAAGTGTAACTATACAGGTGTGTAGGCAAGTGTAACTATACAGGTGTGTAAACAAACGTAACTATACAGGTGTGTAGGCAAGTGTAACTGTACAGGTATGTAAACAAACATGACTGTACAGGTGTGGTGGATGTGTCTCTGTGTGGTGGATGTGTTACCACCTTCCCTAGCAACGGAACCAAGACCGGCGACTTTCTCGGGTTTGACCAACATGACTCATAGAGGACTCACGGCTGCTGGGTATATAAGCTCTGTCAGTCCGGTCTCTCTTCTTGAACAAGCAACACCTCCTCCTCCTCCACCTGCCTGGCGGCCCCTCGCCTCTCCTCCACCTGCCTGGCGGTCCCCCCCCCCGCCCCCAGTCGCCGCACCCACCAGCTGTCCTTCTGACCTTCCTCACCAACCAGCTCTCATTCTGGCCCATCTTCCTGAACAAGCAACACCTCCTCCTCCTCCACCTGCCTGGCGCCCTCACCTCCTCCACCTGCCTGGCGGTCCTCACCTTCCTCCACCTGCCTGCGGTCCTCGCTCCCGCCAGCGAGCATGGCGACCCACCAGCTGTCCTTCTGACCTTCCTCACCAACCAGCTCTCATTCTGGCCCATCTTCCTGAACAACGCAACACCTCCAGCAAGCTCCTCGCTGTCCAGCTTTCATTCAACCAGGAGGCCAGCAACAGGCAACATCTTCTCTAACGAAGCTCCTGCACATCTCCCTCCTTCAACACGCTACTCACCGAACGTCTCCACTGAGCAGCTCCTCACCACACGGCACCTCCAGCACCAGACTGTCTATCATATAACTTATATTATACAAGAAAACCACCTTAGAGTTTCCATCCATCCTGAGTGCTAGACAACATTAATACCAAATATCATCATTAACTCGAATACGCTGGATAGCTTCAAACACACTGTAGGTTAGTCAAGTGTTAGGCCAGGCTAGTGCCAGTGCTGTGCCAGTGCCAGGCCAGTGCCAGGCCAGGTCAGCGCCAGTGCCAGGCCGCGCCATGCCAGGTCAGTGCCAGTGCCAGTCAGTGCCAGGCCAGCGCCAGGCCAGCGCTGGTCAGCGCCAGGCCAGGCCAGTGCCAGGCCAGGCCAGCGCCAGCGCCAGGTCAGCGCCAGGCCAGCGCCAGGTCAGTGCCAGTGCCAGGCCAGTGCCAGGCCAGCGCCAGGTCAGTGCGCAGCGCCAGTGCTGTGTCAGGCCAGTGCCAGGCCAGTGCTTGGTCAGCGCCAGGCCAGTGCCAGGTCAGCGCCAGGCCAGCGCCAGGCCAGCGCAGTGCTGTGTCAGCGCCAGGCCAGTGCCAGGCCAGCGCCAGGCCAGTGCCAGTGCCAGGCCAGTGCCAGGCCAGTGCCAGGCCAGTGGCCAGGTTAGTAGTGCCAGGTCAGTGCCAGGTCAGTGCCAGGCTGTGTGCTGGTGCAGCGCCAGGCCAGCGCAGGCCAGCACAGTGCCAGGCCAGCGCCAGGCCAGGCCAGCGTTGCGTCAGGCCAGCGCCAGCGCCAGGCCAGTGCCAGGCCAGCGCCAGGCCAGTGCCGCGCCAGGTCAGCGCCAGGCCAGGCCAGTGCCAGTGCCAGGCCAGTGCCAGTGCCAGGCCGCGCCGCCAGTGCCAGGCCAGCGTTGGTGTCAGCGCCAGTGCCAGGCCAGTGCCAGGCCAGTGCCAGTGCCAGGTCAGGCCAGCCAGCGCTGCGGCCAGGCCAGTGCCAGGCCAGCGCCAGGCCAGCGCCAGGCCAGCGCCAGGCCAGTGCCAGGCCAGCGCCAGTGCCAGGCCAGTGCCAGGCCAGTGCCAGGCCAGTGCCAGTGCCAGGCCAGTTGTGCCAGTGCCAGTGTTAGGTTAGTGTTAGGTTAGTGTTAGTGTTAGGTTAGTGTTAGGTTAGTGTTGGGTTAGTGTTGGTGTTAGGTTGGTGTTGGGTTGGTGTTGTTGTGGTTGGTGTTAGGTTAGTGTTAGTGTTGGGTTGGTGTTAGGTTGGTGTTGGGTTAGTGTTGGTGTTGGTTAGTGTTGAGTTGGTGTTGGGTTGAGTGTTGGGTTGGTGTTGGTGTTGGGTTAGTGTTGGGTTGGTGTTGGGTTAGTGTTGGGTTAGTGTTAGGTTGGTGTTGGTTTGGGTTAGTGTTGGGTTAGTGTTAGTGTTGGGTTGTGTTGGTGTTAGGTTGAGGTTAGTGTTAGGTTGGTGTTGGTTGGTGTTGGATGTGTTAGGTTAGTGTTAGTGTTAGGTTAGTGTTGGGTTAGTGTTGGTGGGTTAGTGTTGGGTTAGTGTTAGTGTTAGGTTAGTGTTGGGTTGGTGTTGGGTTGGTGTTAGGTTGGTGTTGGGTTGAGTGTTAGGTTGGTGTTGGGTTAGTGTTGGTGAGGTTAGTGTTAGGTTGGTGTTGGAGTGTTAGGTTGAGTGTTGGGTTGGTGTTGGTGTTAGGTTGGTGTTAGGTTGGTGTTAGGTTGGTGTTGGTGTTAGGTTAGTGTTAGTGTTGGGGTTAGTGTTAGGTTGGTGTTGGTTAGTGTTTAGGTTGGTGTTGGGTGTTGGTGTTGGGTTAGTGTTGGGTTGGTGTTAGGTTGGTGTTGGGTTGAGTGTTGGGTTGGTGTTAGGTTAGTGTTGGTGTTGGGTTGGTGTTGGTTGGTGTTGGGTTAGTGTTGAGTGTTAGGTTAGTGTTGGGTTAGTGTTTGGTGGTGAGTTGGTGTTAGGTTGAGTGTTGGTTTGGGTTAGTGTTAGGTTGAGTGTTGGGTTAGTGTTGGTGTTAGGTTGGTGTTAGGTTAGTGTTGGGTTGGTGTTAGGTTGGTGTTGAGTGTTAGGTTAGTGTTGGGTTGGTATTTTAGGTTGAGTGTTAGGTTGAGTGTTAGTGTTGGGTTGGTGTTGGAGTTGGTAGTGTTGGGTTGGTGTTGGGTTGGTGTTGGTGTTGGGTTGGTGTTGGGTTGAGTGTTGGGTTGGTGTTAGGTTGGTGTTGAGTGTTGGGTTGGTGTTGGGTTGGTGTTGGTGTTAGGTTGGTGTTAGGTTGGTGTTAGGTTAGTGTTAGGTTAGTGTTAGTGTTGGGTTGGTGTTGGTGTTGGTGTTGGTGTTAGGTTAGTGTTAGTGTTGGTGTTAGTGTTAGTGTTGGGTTAGTGTTGGTGTTAGGTTGGTGTTAGGTTTAGTGTTAGGTTAGTGTTAGGTTAGTGTTAATTATTGGGTTGGTGTTAGTGTTGGTGTTAGGTTAGTGTTGGTGTTGGTGGTGTTAGGTTGGTGTTAGTGTTAGGTTAGTGTTAGTGTTGAGTGTTAGTGTTAGGTTAGTGTTGGTGTTAGTGTTAGGTTGGTGTTAGGTTGGTGTTAGGTTGGATGCTCATATGAGCAATAGGGGCTGGGTGGACTGCCCAGTATGGGTCAATAGACCCGCTGCAGTTTCCTCCATTCTATGTTCTTAATAATGACAACAAACTCCCTTCCTTCCCCACCTCACTAGAGACGACAGACTCCTACCCTCCCTACCCTCCTTCCTCCCCTACCTCCCTTCCTTCCCTACCTCCTTCCTTCCCTACCCTCCCAGTGGCGTAGCTAGAGTGTGTGCCGCCTGGGCACTCGAATTCTCCCCCCCCCGTGGCTGTCTGGGTGGCTTTCGTCTGGGTGGCTTTGTCTGGGGGCTTTTGTCTCAGGGGCTTTTGTCTGGGTGGCTTTTGTCTGGGGGCTTTTGTCTGGGTGGCTTTTGTCTGGGGGCTTTTTTCTGGGTGGCTTTTGTCTGGGTGGCTTTGTCTGGGGGCTTTTGTCTGGGGGCTTTTGTCTGGGTGGCTTTCGTCTGGGTGGCTTTTGTCTGGGTGGCTTTCGTCTGGGTGGCTTTTTTTGGGTGGCTTTCGTCTGGGTGGCTTTTGTCTGGGTGGCTGTCTGGGTGGCTTTCGTCTGGGTGGCTTTTGTCTGGGTGGCTTTCGTCTGGGTGGCTTTTGTCTGGGGGCTTTTGTCTGGGTGGCTTTGTCTGGGGGCTTTTGTCTGGGTGGCTTTTGTCTGGGGCGCTTTATCTGGGGCTTTTGTCTGGGTGGCTTTTTGTCTGGGTGGCTTTTGTCTGGGGGCTTTTGTCTGGGGGCTTTTGTCTGGGTGGCTTTTTGTCTGGGTGGCTTTTGTCTGGTGGCTTTTGTCTGGGGGGCTTTTTGTCTGGGGGCTTTATCTGGGGGCTTTTATCTGGGGGGCTTTGTCTGGGGGCTTTGTCTGGGGGGCTTTTGTCTGGGGCTTTTTGTCTGGGGGCTTTTTCTCTGGGGGCTTTTGTCTGGTGGCTTTTTGTCTGGGGTGTCTGGGGGGCTTTTTATCTGGGGGGGCTTTTATCTGGGGGGCTTTTGTCTGGGGGCTTTGTCTGGGTGGCTTTTGTCTGGGGGGCTTTGTGCGGGGCTTTGTCTGGGTGGCTTTGTCTGGGGGCTTTTGTCTGGGTGGCTTTGTCTGGGGGGCTTTTTGTCTGGGTGGCTTTTCGTCTGGGGCTTTTGTCTGGGGGCTTTTTGTCTGGGGGCTTTTGTCTGGGGGCTTTTTGTCTGGGGGCTTTTATCTGGGGCTTTTATCTGGGGGGCTTTGTCTCTGGGGGCTTTGTCTGGGGGCTTTTATCTGGGGGCTTTTTGTCTGGGGGCTTTTTGTCTGGGGGGCTTTTGTCTGGGGGCTTTGTCTGGGGGCTTTTGTCTGGGGCTTTTATCTGGGGGGCTTTTATCTGGGGGCTTTTGTCTGGGGGCTTTTTGTCTGGGTGGCTTTGTCTGGGGGCTTTTGTCTGGGGGGCTTTTGTCTGGGTGGCTTTTGTCTGGGGGGCTTTTTGTCTGGGTGGCTTTGTCTGGGGGCTTTTATCTGGGGGCTTTTATCTGGGGGCTTTTGTCTGGGTGGCTTTTGTCTGGGGGCTTTTTATCTGGGTGGCTTTGTCTGGGGGCTTTGTCTGGGTGGCTTTTGTCTGGGTGGCTTTCGTCTGGGGGGCTTTCGTCTGGGGGCTTTTGTCTGGGGGCTTTTATCTGGGGGCTTTTATCTGGGGGCTTTATCTGGGTGGCTTTGTCTGGGTGGCTTTCGTCTGTACCCCAGTGAGGATAGTGTCTTAGCAATGCTGTGAAACCAAATCTTAATATTTAATCTCAGTTCCGCAGCAAAAGTCACATCAATATTTTTTTAAACCAATACTTTAATATTTCTTACTTATAGTCTTATGTCTTCCAGAGAACATAAAGGTCGTCTAGCCTTCCCTCGTCTTGTTACGATGGAGACTTGTGCAGAACTGTAGTGAATTGCTTGTTAACTGGTGAATTGCTTGTTAACTGGTGAATTGGTCGGCTGTACATGAACTGATATGACCCGAGACTGCATGGTTTTGTAGCTACTGGAGACGTTAATCCTTCCCTCCCTACCTCCCTTACCTCCCTTACCACCCTTCCCTCCCTTCCCTCCCTACCCTCCTTCCCTTCCTTCCTCCCTCCTACACCCTTCCTCCCTACCTCCCTACCCTCCTTCCTCCTACCCTCCTTCCTCCTACCCTCTACCCCTCCCTCCTCCCTTCCCTCCCTACCCACCCTTCCCTCCCTACCCTCCCCTACCCTCCTTCCCTACCCTCCTACCCTCCCTTCCCTCCCTACCCTCCTTCCCTACCCTCCTCCCTTCCCTCCCTACCCACTCTCCTCCACCCTCCCCTACCCACCCTCCCTACCCTCTCCTTCCCTCCCCTACCCTCCCTACCCTCCTTCCCTCCCCCCTCCCCCACCCTCCTACCCACCCTACCCTCCCTTCCCTCCCTCCTTCTCCCTTCCCTCCCTTCCCCACCCTTCCCTCCTTCCTCCCTACCTCCCTTCCTCCCCTACTACCCCTCCCTTCCCTCCCTACCCTCCTTCCCCTCCACCCCCTTCCCTCCCCTACCCACCCCTACCCCTCCCCACCCTACCCTCCTTACCCCACCCCTACCCTCCCTTACCCACCTCACTAGACGCTGCTCCCTGGTGGCCTTTCCATTGCCTCACTTCTTTCACTTATTTCAATAACTTCTAAGTCATTTATCCACATAATTTTCCACTCAAAAGTTGAATTAATCATTAGGGTCGTTAATTATCACAGGGAATTAGTCTTACAAGCACTATAGAGTCGATAATTAAGATAAATAGACAATAATCACTCCGGTCACCGTCAAGCAGAAGACAGTGTGTTCAAGAGTTCCCGGGGTAACACCTTTAGTCTTTACAAATTAATTAATATTATAACTTTTTTTCTCCTTTAAATTAATAAAAATAAATAATAAACTATAATAATTTAGTTTTGTTTAATTTAGTTGATATTATTAGTTAATTTTTAGTAGATTAATTATTTATTACCTATACATCTTTCAAAAGTTGTATAAACAGTAAATAAAATGAAATCTCCTTTTTCATTAACTAAATTAAATAATAAAGAAAAACTGAATCAGAATATAACTTAGGTATCTGTCCACAACTTCCATTAAAGAGTTTATTTAAGATGGTGAATTATTACTGTCTGTGGCTATCATTCTTTCTACCTATCTGATTGCGTCTTATTCTTCTTTCTTCTCTCTCTCTCTCTCTCCCATTCTTTCTATCTCTTTTTGACCCCATCTCTCTCTCTTTCACCTGTCCATCAACAAGTTCTCATTCAAGTGCTAATGGGCCCCAGTTCTAATGGGCCCCAGTGCTAATAGGCCCCAGTGCTAATGGATCCCAGTTCTAATAGGCCCCAGTTCTAATAGGCCCCAGTGCTAATGGGTCCCAGTTCTAATAGGCCCCAGTGCTAATGGGCCCCAATTCTAATAGGCCCCAGTTCTAATACAGGGCCCAGTGCTGATAGGCCTTGTTCCCCATTAGGCCCCAGTTCTACAGTCCCCAGTTCTACAGGGGCCCTAGTGCTGATAGGCCCTTATGCACAGGGCCCCAGTTCTAATAGGCTCCTTGTTCCAATAGGGCCCCAGTTCTAATAGGCCCTAGTGCTAATGGGCCCCAGTGCTAATAGGGTTCTGTGCCCCACAGGGCCCTATTGCTGATAGGCCCTTGTTCTAATAGGCCCTTGTCTCCACAGGGCCCCAGTTCTAATAGGCTCTTAGAGCCAAGGGTCCCAGTTCTATTAGGGCCCCAGTTCTAATGGGACCCCAATTCTAATAGGCCCCTAGGGACACAGACCCCCACACTTCACTCCCCAAGGTCCACCTCCACCCCTCACACTGACCCCAAGGTCCATCTCCACCCCTCACACTCACCCCAAGGTCCACCTCCACCCCTCACACTCACCCCAAAGTCCACTTCCATCCCTCACACTCACCCCAAGGTCCACCTCCACCCCCTCACACTTCACCCCTGTCCACCTCCACCCTTCACACTCACCCCAAAGTTCACCTCCACCTCACCCCAGGTCCACCTCCTCCTCCACCCCTCACACTCACCCCAAGGTCCACCTCCACCCCTCACACTCACCCCAAGGTCCACCTCCACCCCTCACACTCACCCCAAGGTCCACCTCCACCCCTCACACTCACCCCAAGGTCCACCTCCATCCCTCACACTCAACATGGCCTACAACCTAGAAACAAGAGAGAATAAAACCAAAGTACTAAACATTTTGACTTTTATTTTTCATATTAGAATGTTTGGTTGAAGGTTTCTATAATACCATTGTGTAGTGTCTGAAATATTGAACAGATGTTACATTAGAGCCTTCCTTGAGAGAGAGGGGAGGGTGTGTGTGTGTGTGGGGAGGGGTGTGTGTATGTGTGTGTATGTGGGGAGGGGTGGGGAGGTGGGTGTGTGTGGGGAGGGTGTGTGTGTATGTGGGGAGGGGTGTGTGTATGTGTGTGTGTGTGTGTGGAGAGGTGTGTGTATGTGGGGGTGGTGTGTGTGTGTGTAGGGTGTTGTGTAAGTGATGATTTGTGTGTGTGGTAAACAAAACATATCACCAACACCTCATTCCCCTCCCTTGCTATACTTAATGATCTGACGTTCCCTCGGTGTATAATAAATTTTCCCTCGACTTTTTTTTCGTCTAAGTTGGTTTTGGCTCGAATCACCCGACGACATCGTTATGGCTCCAACAGCGGCTCATTATCTCTTCAGTGGTTAACATATTATAAAAAAACATATCCCCCTCTCCCCCCCTTCATCATATATCATCATCATCATCATCATACATCAAGAAAAACAGCAGTAAACGTTGAAAGAAATACATCACTTGGTTTGGGATTTATTTTTTGTCATCTATAGTGCACGGTACAGTAGAGTACGGCAGAGTACAGTAGAGTACGGCAGAGTACGGCAGAGTACAGTAGCAGCAAACATCATCACTACTGTTAAGGGGTGATCAGAACTTTCAATAACCTCCAAGATTAACAAAAAAAACTCTAGAATTATGGTCAACAGGGAAGGCCACAACAACACTCTTCTGTAGGGGGCAGGTAGAGTTATACTGGTACAGCGCGGTACAGCATGATACAGCGCGGTACACTGTGGTAGAGCGTGGTACAACATGATACAGCGCGGTACAGCATGGTAGAGCGTGGTCCAACATGGTACAACACGGTACAACATGATACAGCGCGGTACAGCATGATACAGCGTGGTACAGCATGATACAGCGCGGTACACTGTGGTAGAGCGTGGTACATGATGATACAGCGCAGTACAGTACAGTTGAAGGGCACTGGGCAGTCTTAGGAGAAAGACAGAGCTCATATATAACATACACACACCACTGTAATAATCCTCGTGTGAGCGTCAAGACTCGCCGCCGTAACTGATGGTAATTGGGGCATAATATTTATATATATAAACATATATATCTCATTAAATAAACCCAATACAGTACAAAGTAAATCTGACTCCTTGAAGCCTCCATCCCACTGACAGACAAGAGACCTAAGTAATATATATATATTTAGTGCACATAAGTTACACAAACTCTGTGTGAACAAAAACCACAAGAGTCTCCGAGCTTATAGGGATTTCAGTACTGTATTTTGTAACCTTGGCCACCGCCTCTTTGAGTAAAGTATAGCAGCGGTCGGGTACAGCAACGTAAAGTGTGTGTAGTGTGGGGTTTATTATTGTAACCTGGGGTGTGTAGCTAACATGGCGGAGAGAGAGAGAGAGAGAGAGAGAGAGAGAGAGAGAGAGAGAGAGAGAATAATAATAATAATAAAAATCTCAACTCAATCCAACATGAGACAGACAGACAAAGACTAAAGGAAAAAAAATATATATATATACCAACATTTTCTTTTAATTATTGTGAACAGAAACAAGAATATCCCATAGCAACCAGCGCTAAGGAACAACTTGTAAAAAAAATAATAATAAAAACTATCATCTACACACCTGCAACACACCTGTCTCTTTGGGCAGGTGTGTAAATAAAGAAATAATAACTCGTTTATTTTTTTTAACCTTCAGACCCCATAGCTGGTAGGAACGGATAAATTAGACCTCTGTGGGGGCTAGTCCAGGGGGGAATCTGGTCAAGGAGGCCTTTTTGCCATGACCGATTGGACAGTTTAGCGGCCGAGGGACGGTCGAGTGAGGCAACGCAGAACAAGAATGAGTAAATAATTTTAATAATAAATTGTAATAAAAATGATATAATAATAATGACAAAAGAGGTTGGCCCATCACACTCGACCAGCCTAAGTACGGTATATAGCTACCGCGGGCGAGATACACACAGAAAGACAATAAGGAGCTGAACCGAGAACTATATATCACCACAACCAAACCACGAGAATTATAAAGAGGTTAGCTATAAGGTGCGTGTGTGTGCATGTGTGTGTGTAACAGTGTATGCTGCAACAAGGTTAACAATTAGTTCTGCCCCAAAAAATAACGGAAAAAACACCCCAAAAATTTTATAAGAAATGGGAAGCTCAATAAAGCCGTCGAGATGAAACGACAAAAACAACGATAATAATATAATTCACTCGTCCAAATTTTAACTAATGGCCAATCAGCTCACACGAACTTGGGCAAAATATAAATAATAAAAACATCATCGAAGGTTCGCTGCCGAGGTTAACACGTGAAATATATATATATATATGTGTATATATATAAACCCTAAAGGAATCATAAGAGTCATAATCCTTTGCTCTGTCTGTCGTCTCACCGTTGCTACATCGGTAAATGGCTATACAAGACTTTAAAAAAAAAAAAAAAAAAAGAAGCTCTTGGCCCCTATATATAATTTTCTTGGAGTACGTTGAGAAAATTTCTGCTACATTTATTCATTTCAACCGTATTAATAAATTCTTCTATCTTGTTATCTTGTGTAGGTAGTCTCTCTTCATTCACACGGGAGAGTAGTGTTCTATCTTCAAGTAAATGTCTCTAGTTGCTGCCATTAGAGATCTGAAACCCAGAGAAGAATCAATGTTAGAAATGACAGAAGAGGTTAGTCTGGGGTCGCCTGTTTGAGGGGGAGAGGAAGGGGGAGAGGAAGGGGGAGAGGAAGGGGGAGAGGAAGGGGGAGAAGAAGGGGGAGAGGAAGGGGGAGAGGAAGGGGGAGAGGAAGGGAGCCCAGGGGTATGATAGATTTCCAGGCAACCAGACGACTCTCTCGAAGCTGGAAAAAAAATCCCTCGTCTCCGGAATTTTCAGGGAGCCGGGAAAATTTTCCTGGGATTTTCCTGTTAAGTGTTCCCCCTCGGAAAATCGCTCCGAAAGCCGGATTTTCCAGGGAAGTTTAATTTCCAGTTAGCAGAGAATTCCGGGTTTGAGGGATTCCGACTAATGGAGATATTACTGTGATGATAATAATAATAATAATAATACAGTCACCCCTCCGTTAACAAACTCAATCCGTTCCAGAAGGTCGTTCGTTAACCGAAAAGTTCGTTAACCGAAACCATTGTTTCAATGGGTTTTTGGGTAATTGGTTCCAGCTCACCGAAAATTTCCTAAATAAAACAAAAATGGTAGAAAAGTTCACTTACTTTGATGTGTGTATGTAGAAGGCTCCTGATGATGATGATGATGATGGGAATTAGAATGGGGGTGGAGGAGAAGGAAGAAGAGAAGGCATTGGGGTGGAAGAGAAGTCACCCCATGGCGCCATTTCACCCATAAAATTTTAGTTCTCTGGTGTAATTCAAGATTATTTTCTTTAAATCAACACTGCACTGCATTATATATTGTCAATATGTAAAATATATTTCAAAATGACCAATAATTTGCTTGGAAACAGAAAAAAAGCGTTTAGTTGAAGAGAGTCTCAAGCAAGATGTTACCTCCAGTGAAAACAGAGAGAGACTAACTCCTGTTTGCTGTGTTAAGAGGCTGGATGCCGCGCATTAAACTAGTCACTTTACCTTCAATTATGTTCAATAATTGTTAAAATGACTAAAAAATTGAATATTAAACTTTTAAAATTATTGAATAGTATAAACTTCTTGATATTTACTAAAATAGTAAGGAACTTAAGCCCTAGAACCGATTAATGTATTGGCGGACTGATACTAAAGCTGGTTGCCCGGTCAGTGCAAGCGAAAACATGTTGAGGTCGGTTCGTAAGAAGTTCGTTAACCGAATTTTTTTTCGTTAACCGAATTGAAGATCCTTATGGAAGGCAGTTCGTTAACCGAAATTACGTTACCCGAGGTGTTCGTTAAACGAGGGGTCACTGTAATGATGATAATAATGATAATACTTGTAGAAAATAATATTGATACTTTAATAGCAATGATGATAATAATAATAATGAGTAATAATAATGACAGTAATAAAAACAATAATAATCACTAATTATGGGTTACAAAAAGAGTCAATTATAAACATCGAGGCCAAACTCACTCTCAATCTTGTGTGGTTCGTGCTGTTTGGGGTGATGTAGAGGAGAGATGGAGTTAAATCCTGGAGGTGGGGAGGTCGGAGGCCACATGGGAGCTACGGAGCGCTGTGTGGGAGCCGTAGGTCCGGTGTGGGAGGCCAGGCCGGTAGGGAGGCCGGTAGAGGTCAGGCTATAGGGCACGAGGTTGTTCCATAGAGGATGTGGGCCGCCTTCTGTCAGCTGTTCCATTTGTTTCATCCAGTGTGGTGGCGAATCGGACCGCGAATCTGTCAGTTGGCCGGATGATACGATGGCCGGGTCGAGGACTGTCAGGTCTGGGGCGCCGCTGTTGGTCCAGCCTGCCAGGGGAGGGGGGGGTGGGGTAATATTGATAGGCCTATTGCTCTTCTTTGTATGGGAGTTATTTTGATTTTATTTCATTATTCTACTGTACACATACATATATATAATGCCTCTATATAAACACATAATGCCTCTATATAAACACATAATGCCTCTATACACACACATATAATGCCTCACACACACACACACACACAGGTTGTAGATTCCACGAAGCTCCTCGGCGTCACCATAGACAACAAACTAAATTGGAAACCACACGTCAGTGAAGTTGTCAAATCCTCCAGTTTCCGTCTCCACCTCCTCCGCCGACTCAAGTCCCTCGGAGTTCCTGCACACGAGCTCCTCAGTGTTTACACAACATTCATACTTCCCAAGCTCACCTATGCCTCCCCACCTGGTCTTCCTCCCTAAATGCCACACAACGTAAACACCTAGAAAAAGTGCAAAAGAGGGCATGCAAGATTATTCTCTCCCCTTCCTACTCCACATATCAAGAAGCGCTCAACACACTGACCCTTTCGACTCTCACTGACCATCACCACAACCTCATCTGCAAATTTGGTAAGAACCTTCTACACCATCCTCGACACCGGCTCCTACTACCACCTGAGAGATCCCTAGTCCGAGAATTGCTGTTCGACACCACAACCGCATCCAGCCCATACGTGCACGAACTGATCGCTATAAGAACAGCCCAGTCCCAACCATTGTAAAAATTATCAATAACTTGTAATAAACCAGTGTATTCACTCCCAGTAAACACTACTCCTTGCACTGTCACTATGTTGAAATGAACTGTAGTTTGAGCTTTTCCCCATCTAGTTATTATATGTCTTATTTGTGTCACTTATGTTACTTGTATATTATTTGTAATTCGTAACCCATTCCCCAAATATGTAACTGTATATTTTCAGCCTTCTGGCTGCCAAGCTCTTTCAATAAACCGTTAATTATTATTATTATTATTACACAGGCACTAAGATGGTCGTACCTTTGTGGGAACTTGCTAGAGAGGTCATGGTCAGCTGGTGTAGAAGAGACTGTTGCTGCTGCTGCTGCTGCTGTTGGTGCTGCTGTTGATGATGATGATGATGCTGCTGTTGTTGATGATGCTGCTGTTGTTGTTGTTGTTGGTGGTGGGCCATGTTGAGGAAATTTGTTAACGGGTTATTGTGGTTGTTGGCTCCTCCTCCGGCGGCCAGAGTGTTGAGTGTGTTGACCGTGTTGAGTGTGTTGACCGTGTTGAGTGTGTTGACGGTGTTGAGTGTGTTGACGGTGTTGAGTGTGTTCATGGTGGTTACGGAGCTGATGGCTGGGAATATGTTACGGAGGCCGTTCTCTAGATCTTTGAGGAGGAAGGCGTCTCCTTTGGGTAAGCCGATACCTGGGGGTCCTAGCGAGGCACTGAGAGGTGTGTCCATGTTTAACAGAGAGGCCGGAGAGAGCAGGTGAGGGGGCATGCCGTTACCCATGCCGCCGTTGGCCGCTCCGCCGCCCAGAAGATTACCGCCCAGACCCGGGGGAACGCCCAGACCGCCCGACCCGACCAGGCCGTTGAGCGCGGGAGGCACGGAGGGGGAGGAGCCCATCCCGGGGGCTCCCATGTTCCCCGTTAACCCGCTGAGGAAGGGAGGCAGGAGCTTGCTGGGCTCTGGCTGACTCTGTCTGGGGGGGATCCCTCCGCCTCCGTAATTATTAAAACTATTGAGGCCGTTAAACCCCGGTGGAGGTAATCTGGGCCTAGACTGTACACTGGGGGTAGAATAATCCATCAGTGTTTTAAGACCAGCTCTCAGCTGTTGATGGTGAGGCGGCAACTGGTGATGACTAAACTGTTGATGATGGTGATGATGATGATGGTGTTGCTGTTGTTGTTGTTGTTGTTGGTGCCGCTGTAGCTGTTGTTGCTGTTTCTGTTCTATTTTTATGTCTTCCGCGAGAGCTTTGTTTGTCTCCTCGAACGGGTCGAAGCCCAACTCGTCGTCGACTAAATTAATCACCCCGGCCAAGTCCTCTTCGCTCTTCTCAAAATCAAATATACAATTCCAAGCGCTATTTGACCGGTTCTGAGATGGGAACATGTTAACCACGTCGAACACCTCGTTGGTCTTGTTTCCGCCCCATTCTGGAAGTACGGGGATAAACATTAGCTGGGAAAATTTTTTACAGACGCTCGGTGAAATTTACAGGTCAGGGAAATTTACATAAAGATGCTAAAATTTACAGAAAGCTGATTAATTAAATGCTGTTAGAATTGACAAAAAGGTGATAAGATTTACACTAACTTGCTAGAATTTACAGATACCAATGTTTACAAGTGGTTAAATTTACACTAACTTGCTAGAATTTACAGATACCAATGTTTACAAGTGTTAATTTTACACTAACTTGCTGGAATTTACAGATACCAATGTTTACAAGTGGTTAAATTTACACAGGTTGCTAGAATTTACAGATACCAATGTTTATAAGTGGTTAAATTTACACAAGGTTGCTAGAATTTACAGATACCAATGTTTACAAGTGGTTAATTTTACACAAGGTTGCTAGAATTTACAGATACCAATGTTTACAAGTGGTTAATTTTACACTAACTTGCTGCAATTTACAAGAGGTTAAATTTACAGAGAAAAACCAACCTGGTGTAGTGTCGTGTTGTGTGTGGTGGTGGTGGTGATGGTGGTGGTGGAGCTGGTGGTTGTGTTGTGGGGGGGAGGAGGCCGCCGGTGGAGGGAGTGGTGGAGAGGTCCGTTGGAGAGGGAGAGAAGGGCCGGAGGAGAAGAAGCTGTTGCTATTGTCGGAGAACAAGGAGGAGGCCGCAGCTGCGGACTGTCGAGACGAGAACTGCTGAGGCAACTGGAGACAAGACGACCGCTCGGAGGACGAAGACAGGGAGGACGGAGGAGTGGGGAGTGGAGACAACTCCTCCTGGCAGAGATCCTGTACCCCGCAGGAGACCGGCACAGGGGAGGAGGAAGGAGGGGAGGGGGGGATGAAGGAAGGAGGTGGGGTGGTGGAGGCCGAGGAGGTACAACTCTCGTGGCTAGACGATGGTGAAGACGTAGCCACGGGGCTGATGCTGTGGTTCAATAGGTCAACGCCCAGGCCGTTACTTGAGGTGCTACTGGTGCTACTTGAGCTACTGCCGGTGTTACAGGATCTGTCCCTTTCTTTACTGCCTCTGTAACGTAACAAAATTATTGAGTTTGGGAAATATTTTTTTTTTAATTATTATAATCAAATACATTTAGTTAATTATGTTAATATAAAGTTCAAATACATTTAGTTAATATAATCAATCCAATAAATTATTCCTCGACCCTTCATACAAGAACCTTCAGTAAACAAAGGCATTAATTTTTCTACGACTGATGGAGTGAGAGAGGGGAGGGAGGAGGAGAGAGAGGGAGGGGGGGAGGGGGGAGAGAGAGGAGGGAGGGAGGGAGAGAGAGGGAGGGGGGAGGGGGAGAGAGAGAGGACACTCCACTTTTGTTAATATTATTGTTATTACTACTATTATTATTATTGTTGTGTTCGTCAGTCGGTGTGTGTCTGGAGGTTCCATTGCTGGTTCTGTCCGATTTGCTGCTTTTACTTTTTTTACTTTCTTTGGGGCCCACAGCTGTGAGGGTTGGCCAAGTGTCGGCCCCCGGAGCACTGGGGTTGGTGGCCATAGTGTCCGGCTGGCCTTTAGGGGAGGTGTTTTCCTTGCCGTCGCCACCGCTGCCACCAGATGGCGTACGCTTCTTGGATGTTGAGTTTCCCGAGCTGGTCGCTTGAGGTGGCGTTACGCTGTTGGAAAGGGGGAACTAGGTCGTTAGTTAGTTCTTATGTATATTTTCATTGAGGTTAGGTCGTTGAAGGGGGAACGAGCTCGTTAATAAATACGTTCTCACTGAGGTTTGGTTGTTGAAGGGGGGACGTGGTCGTTAGTTAATTATGTATATTCTCATTGAGGTTAAGTCATTGGACGGGGAATGAGGTCGTTAATATACTGACAAATACTTAGGTTATGTATGTGTGTGTGTGTGTGTGTGTGTGTGTGCATGCATGTTTATGTGTGTATGTATGTGTGTATACTGTATATATATGTGTGTGTGTACATGTTTCTGTGTGCATGTTTGTGTATGTATTTATGTGTGTATACTGTATGTGTGTGTGTGTGTGTGTGTGTGTGTGTGTGTGTGTGTGTGTGTGCATGTATATACCTATGACTGTATATATGTATGTATATATAAACGCACAAGAACCCCACCCCAAACCTTACCTATTTTTATCAGTGGTAGAAGTTCCTAAATACTGATCTTGGAGTTTCTTCTCAAGCTCTTGGTGTTTACCCTGTTGCATCTCTTCCTTGGTGAAACTAGCCGACTCGTCTCCTGTAACGACCATGACCGATAGTTAGCTTATTCAACCCCCCCCCCAGGGAGGTGATTAGGTGGTGCTATGGGGGGGGGTGGGTGGGGTTAGGTTAGGTTGGGTTGGGCCACTTTAGAGAGAGAGAGAGAGAGAGATAACACAGTATGCTAGAGAGACATTTAAAATTGCATCAACCACAGAAGTTATGACAGGAAATATAACCTTTGATAACTTGGACAACATAACTTGGACAACAGGAAGTGATTTATCTTGTGGCTGTTAAAATAAGTGGATTAAAAATGAGTTTATTTTATTCTAAACTTCCTCCCTCACTAGCTAGCCCCACACACACACCCCCCCCTGCTCGCTGGAAATATGTCGACGACTCCACCATTGGGATCAGCGTCAACAATTCTGCTCCCAACTATACCGCCCTTCAGGATTTATTGAACAGTCTCCAAAACTAACACGCCACCATCAACCACACCAAGACCATGGTTATGCACATCAACCCTCCCATATTGTCCTACCCTCCTTCCATTACTTCCAGGTCCTAACACACCCAGGTTGTAGATTCCACGAAGTCTCGCTGCCACCATAGACAACAAACTAAATTGGAAACCACACGCCAGTGAAGGTCAAATCCTCCGCTTCCGCTTCCACCACCTCCGCTGACTCTCAAGTCCCTCGAGTTCCTAAAACACGAAAGCCCTGCGTTTACACAACATTCATATTCTCTAAGCCTACCTATGCCTCCCCTGCACCTGGTTAGTCTTCCTCCTAATGCCACACAACGTGAAACACCCAGGAAAAAGTGCAAAAGAGGGCATGCAAGATTATTCTCTCCTTCCTACCCACATATCAAGTTAGCGCCAACACACTAACCCTCTTTCACTCTCACTGACCACTCACCACGACCTCATCTGCAAATTTGGTAAGAAGCTTGCCAATTCATCCTCGACACCGCTCCTACTACCACCTGAGATGATCCCTAGTCCGGTAATTCGTTGTCAATAATTAAATTCATCTACATGCAAATTAACTATCGAAGTTTATAAGAAACAGCCCAGTCCCAACTATTGTAAAAATTGAATAACTTGTAATAAAACTGTGTATTTACTCCAGTAAACACTACCTCGCACTGTCACTATGTTGAAAATGAATTGTAGTTTGGAGTTTTCCATCTAGTTATTATATGTCTTATTTGTGTCACTTATGTTACTTGTATATTATTTGTAATTCATAACCCATTCCCCAAATATGTAACTGTATATTTTCAGCCTTCTGGCTGCCAAGCTCTTTCAATAAACCGTTAATTATTTAATTATTATTATTATTATTATTATTATTACACACACACACACACACTACCTAGTTCATGAAGGTACATGCAGTCAGGTTTGGGACACTGCTGATTCTTCATAAAGTGGGAACAGTATTTGGTCGTCCCCAGAGAAGCCTTCAACGTCCGGCCGTCCACGTGGATGTTGTTCACCGCCTGGATGGCTCTCAACGCGTCCTCCGCTCTCTGATAGGTCACGTACGCTGATGCACTCGGCCCCTGAGGAAAACATTTCATCGGGGTCAGTAAATACGACAAAATATTGTAAAAAAAATTAAAATAGTATCAATGTTGCCCCCTTGTCTCACGTAACCCCAAAGGAAAATATTTCATTAGGGTCAGTCAGGAAATGTGAAAAAAACATCACAAAACTAAAACAATACCACATCTTTCTCTCACGTGAGCTCGACCGCTACATAGATATTTAACTGGGGTCAGGAGGGAAGTGAGGCAAAATAATTCTATACCTATCGTTCAACAGACCATAATATTTCCTACTCTGAGGTGTGGTGAGGCAGTCGACCCCTACGCAGAGAACGGCTTGATGAAGGGAAGCGGGAGGAGAATGGACAGATCAACAAATAAATGGCTTATATTTCAACGTTAAATATTAAAAATAATACTAATTTAATATTTACTTTCTCGTGTTGAGTTAACGAAAGGAAACATACATACATACATACATACACACATACAAACACACACACATACATACACACATACATACACACAGCCATACGCACACACACAGATACATGTTTATTAACTCTGTTTCCCAGATAAGAGAAGTTGCGTCACATTTAAATTTTCCACGACACATATCTTATCAACTCTGGGGGGGGAGGGGAGGGGAGGGGGAGACTGTGGAGTGGGGTTGAGGGGGGGACACACAGATCCTCTCAAGGGGTTAAATCACTGTACTCAAGGGGTTGAATGACTATAGAGTACTAAAAGGGTTTAAGCAACATACAGTGGTCCCTCGGTTAACGAACACAATTCGTTCCAGAAGGTCGTTCGTTAACCGAAAATTTCGTTAACCAAAACCATTGTTTCAATGGGATTTTGGGTAATTGGTTTCAGCTCACCAAAAATTACATACAAACTAAAAATAAATGCAGTAAAGTACACTTACTTTGAGGTGTGCATGTAGAAGGCTGAATTAGAAGTGGGGGTGGAGGAGAAGGGAGAAGAGAAGGCATTGGGGTGGAAGAGAAGTCACCCCATGGCACCATTTCACCCATAAAATTTTAGCTCTCTGGTGTAATTCAAGATTATTTTCTTTAAATCAACACTGCACTGCATTATATATTGTCAATATGTAAAATAAATTTGAGAATGACCAATAATTGTACTGTAAAAATGTAAAATATAGTAAAATATTTTATGTTCAAGAGAGTCTCAAGCAAGATGTTCCCTCCACTGAGAAGAGACACAAACTGACACCTGCTGGGTGAGTCAAGTGGCTGTTTGGGTTCACTAAAAACTAGTTTCCTGTACCTCAATTATGTTCACTAATTGTTAAAATGACTAAAAATTTTAATATAAAACTTTTAAAATTATTGAATAGTACGACCTTCTTGATATTTACTCAAATGGGAACGAATTTAAGCCCTAGAACCGATTACTGTATTGGCGAACTAATATTCCAGCTGGTGAGCAAGAGAAAACATGAGAAGAATTCGTAAGGAATTCGTTAACCAAATTTTTTTCGTTAACCGAATTGAAGATTATGGAAGGTAATTCGTTAACCGAGGGATCACTGTACTCAAAGGGTTAAACCACTGTACTCATGCAGTTAAACCACTGTACTCTAAAGGGTTAAACCACTGTACTCAAGGGGTTAAACCACTGTACTCAAGGGGTTAAACCACTGTACTCAAGGGGTTAAACCACTGTACTCAAGGGGTTAAACCAGCACCTGCCCACCGTAACAACTAAACCACCTCACCTGCGACCCAGCATAGCTCGTACTGTGATTGATAACAACTTTGTGTATTTTGCCAAACTTTCCAAAATATTCTGGCTTCTTTAAAGTCTGAAATGACCAGAAGAAAGTATATTAGTTATTTTATTTACCTGTATTCTCTATGTATACCTGTATTCTCTATGTATACCTGTAGTCTATGTATACCTGTACTGGTGTCTCAAGTCATTATACATAAATATTTTAATTAATTATCAAACTATTGTTCTGATAAAATGGCAAAAATTACCTTTAGTTAACCTAGACTACCTTAACTTAAACTAACCCAACTTAAAACTAACCTAACCCAACCAAACAGCCCCCCCCAATACCGACCTCTGCATCAGCCAGCCTCGTTGACAGGCCAACCACAAACACGAGGTTCTTCTGCACCACTCGGACATTGGCTAAATGCTTGCGATTCTCCGTCACCTTTTGTTTACGTTGCGCGTCCTTCTGTCTCTTCTCTTGCTTTATTCGCTGCAGTCTGGGGTGATGTAGGAGGAGGGAAAAGAAGGGTAGTTAGTTCTTTAACGATGTAACGACTTAAAGTTAATGACAGGATGAAATTTATGAGGGAATTATTTGAAGGGAGAGAGATCTGGGGTGATGTACGAGGGGAAAAGAAGGGTAGTTAGTTCCTTAACGACGTAACGACTTAAAGTTAATAACAGGATGAAATTTATGAGGGAATTTTTGGGAGAGAGAGAGAGGGGTCAACTTTATAGATATATTGTATTTCAATTTATTATACAAGAACGCAATATCGAGGAGACACAGATGATATGAGACACACACACCCACCCTAATACATACTCTTCGTGCGACAAAGGCTTAAAATCAGCAGGGTTCTCCGGATAAGCCTTACGACATGCTGGACAGAGGCCATTCTCGTCCGTCCTGATCCTGTGCCAGCAAAACCGACATATCTGATAGCCGCAGGTACACGGGTAGAAGTTGAGGTCGTCCATCTCCAACGGCTCCATGCATAAGGGACATTCGACCAGATCTTCACTTAAGTTTAGAACCGACATTTTTAAAGAGATCCTCTATCCGATAATGGATCACCTGCGGGAAATATAAGCGGATCTAAGAGACGATATTAATTTATATTTATTTAATAGGGAATAACCAGAAATATTTTGGCTGTGAGTAAAGAATAAAACCTTTCATTAGGGTTAGGTTAGGGTAGGTATAATATCAATAATCACAAAGAAAATTAAACTATATTTTTTATTAATATTTTCAAGACTAATTAAAAAGAATAATTAATTTCTTACGATTATATTAAGGATTATTTAGCCATTTTTACTTTCAATACCAAAAAGTCAAATTATCACCAAAAAACTAATTTCTCATAATAATTAAATAACAAGAATAATTATACATCTTTCTAGATTAATTAAAAAGAATAATTAATTTCTTACGATTATATTAAGGATTATTTAGCCATTTTTACTTTCAACACCAAAAAAAGTCAAATAACCACAAAAAAAATAATTTCTCATAATAATTAAATAACAAGAATAATTATACACCTCTTAAGAATTATATAGACTAAAAATAACTTAGTAAAATATAATAAATAACCTAATAGTAATTACTTAAGACCACAGGTGATTTCTCTTACCATAACCTAATGACATTTTTATCAATAACCACTAACCTAACCTAACCAAAAGATAATTAAAAGACAAAATATAATAAAAAAAACATGAAAACAATAGAAAATAATTAAATAATAACCAAGGGAATATTTTTTTTATAATTTTTTTAAAGTAATGGAATAAAAAACCTCTAATGACCATCACTAACTACTTAACTACTTTATAGGTGTATGTAACTGGTAATTAAATCATAGATGAATTAAAAACGATGATAGGGATTAAATAAAGGGATATTATACGTGTTTACGAGTGACCTTCAATAATTACTAACATAATCTCTCCTATAATATCTACAAACTTCTATATTATTTAACATAGACAAAAAGCTTATATTAACCATCTACTGTAATATAGAGGACATAGGAGACCAGATAGGAGATAAATAAAGGAGATATAGACACAGCCGGAGACGAACACTCTATAGGAGACAGTTGAAGGAGACCCCTAACATATTTCTCTTAATACGTAATAAATAACACCATTACGGTCTTATTTATATTTTATACAGATAGATTAACCTTCAATCTCCATTCATATAAGGTTATAAGACTCAAGATAAGGTATAAGAGCCGTAGGAAAATACTTACGGGTAAAATAGGGAGAATATTGGCTGACAAAATTAAGGTTGAGGAAACACGACTACTGCGCATGCGCCGTCGACCTGCCAGACCCAGGTGACTTATGTTCCCTTTATCACCACGACCGTTATACCTAAACCAAGTATTATTAATAGTGATAAAAAAAAGATTAATTATAATAACATCTATTAAGTTAAATATTATATGGTGATTTATTTATTTTATTTAGTTATTTTGTGGATATTTGTTTTTTATTATGAGGATTATGTGGTTTTTTTAGGTGTTGGTTGTGGTGATTTTTTAACTTTAAGTGTTTTGTACCTTTAAGACCCCGGATGTAACAAGTGACGAGCGTCCACACCTAAACCATTATTAACCTCTTTACTCTATATATTCCTTTATTTTCTATATAAAGAAGCTTAAATTAACCTCAGTATTTTATTATTTTTCCAAACAAGTCTTTATTATGATGTATATATCGTCGTATTGATTAAAATATGTTATTGAAGTTTATGACCTTAACAACCATTTAACCTCTTACACCGCTATTTAATCCACTTTTAACATATAAATAAACTTTTATATTCTCCATAACATATAATTATCTATATAAATATCTATTTTTTGCCATTTAAAGGTTCAATTAATGGTGTTAAGTTATTATATGTTAAGGCGTCTAGCAACTATTCACTCATGTCAGATTATTAGTATATAAATATTTATCTATTTAAAGGTTTATATAGTAATATATTTATTCATTTTGTGTCAATTATTACCTAATTCTAGTGTAAATTGATCCCATATCTATTTTATAAGTTATGTACCTTTAAAACCCCATCTTGTAGTGTTTATGAGTATATTATTAATTATTTTAGTTAATTGAATCATTTAATGTCATTCCCTGGTGTCAGTCTTGAGGTGAACCTTTAATATAACGATAAATAAACAAATACAGAACCATACATGACACAAGTCTCTAAGTTTGATTAGAGTCTACAGTTGTATGACTCAGCTGGGAGGTGAATCCATCAAATAATAGAGTTTTAATATTTCTATAAATAATCAAAATCTATAAAATACCCAAATTTTGATGTTCTTTTATTTATTTTGTTTTGCGAGATGTTTGAGTCAGTCGTCTATAGTCATTGATAAAGACGCTATAGATAGAGCTAGTGTTAGAATATAACCTCGTCAAGGCCATTTAGTCAAATAACATTTAGTTTTTAAATATATTACATGTA